GACGAAAAATCACAATTTCATTCGTTATCATATTTACGAGACACGATATATCAATCCTATAATTATTTATTTAACGAAAATTCAGGGCTTTGCTTTTTCATTAAAAAAGTGCGTATCTTTTCGAATAAATTAACCCTTATCACTATAAAAATACTACGAAGTAATTTTTAACCAACTTCAAACAAACTTTCTTAATTTCGAAGCTATGAAAAAAAAAACCGCTGCTGCGTACTATACATTTTATGATATATAGTTTCTTTTTTACAAAAAATAGGAATACACACAAAAAAATTCATTTATATTTTATCATTATTTTAATATATTTTTGTCTTATGACTTTCTTTAAAGTACAAAATTATTTGTTTAATTTATTTTTCATTCTTCTTTCGCGTGATAATAAAGGAAAACAATCGCTAAAATATAGCCCATGGTTTACTGGCGCAAGTGTCACAATAATATGTTCTACGTTTTTTTATTATTAATTGGAACAAACAAGATAATCTTTTGATTGTTTGTTTCTTTTTTTTTATCAAGAACAACTCGAAGTACAAAACTCGAAAGTTTTCCATTCATTAATCTTTCTTTCCTCTTTGCAGTCAAAAATTGTCCACGTTTCTTAAATCCTTCTCGAAAATACCAATTTATTTTATATTGCATTTATTTCTGTACGAAGGTTTTTTCTTTTTTAATTACTCAATTTTATACTTCATTAAAAATTCTTAGAAAAATAAAATAAAATATAAATATTATACTAAAAAATGACGTTAGATATTTTCAGAACGAACTGTATGTTTGTGTGAAACCGAATAATAATAAATGATATCAGTTAGAGTCTTAGAAGGTTGGTTTTAAGATTAGTGGTGTTACTATTGGCTTGGTATGATAACACAAAACTAAGAAGAAACCGATCGTTGTTAGACGTTTTTAAAAAAGTAAAATGTGTACAAAAAATCTCCTCGTGTGATTTGCTTTCGATTGGCTGAGGAAAAAAAGAGAGAGAGAGAATGGTATTAGAGGGGGTGTTAGGGGTGGGATCAGAGGGTGAATTCGAGGAGTGAAGAGGAGAGGGTGAAGAGTCTAGCTCAAGATGAAAAACAAATAAATCAGCCGGTTAATTCAGCCAACGAGCGGCGCACCGGCAAACAGAGTTAATCTCTGAAAATATTAGATGACAGCGAGGAAATAAGCCAGTGCCACACCGGGGCATTAATTACGGGCACGGCTAAAAATAGTGCAACCCGTGTGCGGATGAGACGAAGCGACGTGAAAACGAGCAAGCACCACTATTCTCATTCTCATTCTCATTCTCTTTCTCTTTTCTTCTTTTTATCTTTTTCTCTCGTTCTCTTTCTTTCCGTCTAGTTCGCTTTTCCTCGACCCCCTTCCTCGACCCCCTTCCTAACCCCCTTCTAACCCCATTTCATCTGTACCGAAGAAGACTTTTGACTGAGTGAGTGAATTCTCGCACAGTCGGCCAAGAAAATCTAAGGAGGGGGGGAATGCATGATGCAGTTGGTAATAACTGTTGAACGATCTTTTTTTATTTTTTTTTTATTTGAAAATCAAATATTCTTTTTATTCGGTAAATTTTCGATACTCGTAATATTTTCGTCCCGATTTAAATTATGATAACCGTTGGAATTGATTTTGCGTTTTCTCGATTTAACGCTAAATGCTTTTATGATCGAATAAACGGTTTTAAATTTAGAATTCGTTAATTCAATGTTATATTTATCTTCGGTTTATAACAGTTGATTATATTTCGAAATGAAAAATATTTATATTTTATAATGGTTTATTATAAAATATATTTTATCTATTACTTGATATAATTATTATGAAAATTAATGTTGTTTTCTATAACTTTTAAATACTTACATACCATAAATGTTTTATATATGATCTTAGTATTAATTATAAAATTCATTTGGACGATTGTTTAAAAAAAAAGAAAAACTTATAAATGACCCTGTCATAATAAATACAGTATAGTAATTAAAAAAAAAAAAATAAGAAATCTTTCAACCAAAGACCAAAAATATTTCAATAAATTTGCCATTAGATTGTCTATAGAATTATCGAATATTTTTCTTTTTTTTTTTACAACTCCAAGTCACTCGTGAAAATGATCACGCTGTGTGTCAGGATTTCGAAATAATTTTTAAACGAATTTTTGAACGAAACAAAAAAAAAGAAAAAACAACCAATCAATTTCCAGTCACCGAAACCCACACACATTGTGGTAAATTTTTCAGTAGGTATCCCTTAGTGAATTATCTAGAAAGAAGAAGAAAACGAAAAAAAGGAAAAAAGAACCAATCAATTCTACTCAAATAATCACCGAAACCCATATTTTATGACATATATATATATTTATTCAAATAATTCTTCAGTTGTAATTCTAAGAAAAAAAAAAGAAAAAAAAGAAAACCCATAAATTGTGGTCACCACCCGTGTCATATTACCGATCAGCAGGTGATCGGAAACATCAAAAGGAATAATACTTTGGTCAATTCTTAAAATCAAAAGTAGTATAAGCCCAGTCTAAGGATTTTAGCATCATCTTTTTTTACTATTAACTTCCGATTGCATGCCATTGCAACAGAGAAAACGGAGGTAGACCATTTTGTTTCCTACCATTCCTTTTCCTTTTCTTCCATTATTCTCGTGTCCTTTTTCTTTCTTTCTTTTTTGTTCCTCTTCTTCCTATTACTTCTTCCACGGTAGTAGTGGTGGTGTATACTTTCATGGGCATTGTACTCGTTTGTGCCCCGTCGAGTATTCCGGTTTACCTACGGATTTTTCTCTCGAAATTTTTTTTTCTATCTTTCTCTCTCTCTCTCTTCCTCTCTCTTATAGTTTCTGTCATTGCTACGACAACGCCTTTACTACTTCCTTTTGTTTTTTTCTTTTTTTTTCTTCGACTCTTCCCCTAGTCTTTTTTTCCTTTTATTTTTCCTTTTCTTTTATAACGCAACTTGCAAGTAGGTACCCACATGGCGTATTTTCCTGTTCTTCTTCATCCTCATCCTCCTATTTCTACTCCTACTCATCCTTCGGTTATTGTTAGTTTTCTTTGTCTATCGCGTGTTACATACGAGAATATCAAGGGAGGGTACTTATCTTACGTGCATTACGATTGTACTATACCTACCCTTCACTTCTCAACTTATCCACCAGGAATCTTCCTTTTTTATTTTTTTTTTTTTTCTAGACGAATACTATATCGTATTTTTACAATAGATTTTACGTTAATGCACGTGTCGTATATTTCTTTTAATTTAAGCACGAAGTGGAATTTTTTTTTTTTTTTAATCGAGTTGAAAGTAATTATTCGTAGTTTTATTATAGGAACAATAATGGGAATGCATGAAAAATGTAATTTTACGATATAAAAGTATAAAGTGATTGAACAATTTTTATTTTTTTAATAAGTGAAATAAAGAACAAATAAAATATAATTAATCTTTTACTAATATGAAAAATAAAATTACGTCACTTCGATCATTGTTCTTAACGATTTAATAAATTATTTATATTTTCAATCATTTATTATTTCCAATTCAAATAAATTCTATTGAAAGTTAATCAAATTAACATGTTAAGTAAAAGAAATGAACAAAAATTAAACTTTTCTCGATAAGTATCCTTGATAATTTGAACACTCGAAAACAAATATTATGATGGTTCATTTCATTATTGATTTTTTAAATAAATGTTAATAATAAAATAAAGATAATCCCCCCCTCCCTACAAATTATTATCAAAAAAAAATAAGAATGTTTACTTGAAATATTAGAGTAAAAAAGAAAAACTTCTTTGTTGAGTAAATTATTGTCTTCTTTTTTTTTTTGTATTTAAATATCGTTAATTAATGATTACAAGTGAAAATGAAGTACCACACGCTAGGCGACATACATGCGTATTTCACCTTTTGACTAGAACGCGGGCTTTTATCTTATTGGACCATCACCGAGAGATGTTAATTGGCTGTTCCTGGTAAAGTTAAATCATAGGATTGTTGGAGCAATTAAATGTAATACGTGTCGACGTAGATACTAGAAGAATTATGAATGTACTAACAGTTAATACTACGCGCATGCGTTCATTCTCTCTCTTTCTCTCTTTCTCTTTCTTTGAAAACATAATGATCGTGCAATAATTTCTGCTCGACGTATTAACCATAGGGGGATTAATGAAATATCGATCGATCTTCTCATTTATCGCAATTCTCTTCTTATACCAACGACTATAAACGCACTCCTATATAACGATCCAATAATAATATATTAAAACCTTAAATAGGGTATATATGAATCGTTCTATAGCTAATGTTGTTTAATCCAAAAAATACAAAAATTAAGAATAGTCGTGTTTTTTGAATAACTTGTTTTGGAAAATTTGTGTGTGCGTGTCTTTTTATTACTTAAATGATATATTTTACTATATCAACTACAATGTTGTACTACATCAAGTACAAAGTTATATTACATAAAACGACACTTAAAAATGACTTTTTATTTTTCCTATTTTAAAAAGGTAGGTTCTGCAACAAATCAAGATATGTACAAAGTGTAAAAGTGTTTAAAATTTATTAAAACAAAATTTATTTCTCTTTAAATACTTTAAAACTTTTGCCTTTTAGTAGTAGAATATAAAAAAAAGAAATAGAAAATATGAAAATATATAAGTTATTCCTTTAATAAATTAAAATGATAGAAAGTTTATTAAAATTTACAAAAATCAATAAATATTATAACATGGATTTAATCGTGGTTATTTTTGAACGACTCATATGTATATACGGTGATGTGTGTATGTATATGAGGTGTATATTTAGGATGGTTGTTAACGAAAAGTAATCGTCACGATCGATTGATTTTAACGGATGCATAATGTAATTGTCATGATCGATCGATTTTAATGGATTCATGTTTAATTTTCTCTCTTTATATGTATATGTGTATGTATATATATCTTTATATTTATCTTTTTTTCAGGTTCTTGTGAATTTCCAGCAAGTTGGTCGGGAGAATGGTATCAACACGGAATACAGGTACCCATTATCATAAATACAACGATGTTAGGCGAAAGAAAATGTGTGGAAAGAAGAAAAGACCAATTTATTACGTTGTGAGTATGAAATAATATACTTTGTTCATTTTTTGTTTTGTTTTGGGGAATATATTTATTGATATAAATTCAATTTATCGTTATTATTCAACGATAACAAGAATTCCATTGATAATATGAACACTTTCGCGATTGTATTTAATAAATGAATAAATTTATCACTAAATTTATAATATGATTCATCAAATTATTAAGTTTATTTGATTATTTTGGATTAAAATTCTAAATTTAGCGTTATTTCTTTTATTTTTCTCTCTCTCTTAATGCATTGCACTTTTAAAAATAATTAGAGTTGTTTTTGTTTATTATTGATATAGAAAAAGAATTATATTAGAGAAATTACTAACATTGATTTTGAATTTTATGTTATTGAATGTATATTATTGTTTAGTGTTAAAATTTTGAATTGACTATTTTAAACTTATTAATTAAAAGCATAATATGATAAAGAAATATTTTAAATATAAATACATTCTTTACGTACATTTATATAGTAGAAATTTGCAATATTCACAATCAATTATATGCATTTCAAAATTATACACGGTGCTCAAATAAAAATGGCGTCTAAGAACGGTTGGTCGCGAAAGTGTTAACACGACAATTCATTTAATTATTTATAACAATTAACTTCCGTTTCAGCGGTGAAAAATGTTACCGTTGTATGATCATTACTGCCAGGCACGAAAACGTCATTCAATTTCGCGAAGGTAAGTCGATAGTATATTTTTTCTTTCCCCAGTTTTTTATCGATTTATGTTAAACGCGATAGGGGGGGGGGTGTATTTCTGTAATAATATAACAACATTCATATAAAATATTTTTATGTTTAATTTTTGTTTGATTTTTTTAACAACTATATATTTTATTATAATGAATTTGAAATTTGAAAATCCAGCTATTATAAGAGTAACAATTTTTTTGTATAGTTTCTATTATTTTCATTATTATATAGTATAGTAATAATTAATAGTTTAAAATTATTTGTTGAAAAAATATTAAAAAATTATCCAAGCTTGTAAGCTTTAACAAAAAAAAAAAAGAATCTATTTAATATACTATATGTAAAATATACCTATTAATTTTAATTTAAAGTATATTCAGAAATCTTCCAAGAATAAACTAGCATTTTATTAATTATTTACAACATAAATTATTTAAGAGTATTGATTATATTATTTATTATTCATAACATGATTTTTTTTAATCAAATTATTTTTACTTAATATTATTTATCATTCATTATCTTGCCAATTCTCATCCCTTATTTTTCTACAAATTGATTACTGTTATTCGCCTAGTGCAATGATAAAAATATTTTCCCACGGATTGGTTTCTGCATTAGGACAATAGTTTTTGGGAAGCAACCATAAGCGAGAGAACTGCTAGCTCTTGGGGAAGCGAAACAGTGCACAGTAGTAGTTTGTCTTTCTTTTCCCCATAACTCTCTCTCTCTCTCTCTCTCTCTCTCTCTATCTCTCTTTTTATTCTACACATGCGCACATAAAATCTCTCCCCCTTTTCCGACAAACATTCTCGAAAACACACACACATATATATATATATATACACGTTATACTCGTCTTCTTAACACACATACAAATGCACATACGCACACAAACATATTTATACGCATACGCGTGTGTATACTCCACAATTCTGAGGTTGATGAGCATGGCGTAACTAAACCTGACGTCCATTGTGTTGGACCACATCCTTGGCATTTGCCGTTGCCAATAGTAGATGAAAGGTCTGATGCCGTATGGTGAATTACGCTAAAGTTTAATTCACTGTGAGCTTGGTGTATTAAATGATTTACTATTCATCGTAGGGCTTGTATAAAGATTTGGGGAGTGTTATTGAATATTTTCTTCTTCTTTTTTTTTTCTTTTTCTTTTTTTTTTTTTTATTCTTTTCTTTTATTTTATTTTCCTTTTGCGCCGATTTCTGCATCATCGAACAAACTCAACTCGAATAGGTGTATTATTTGTACCTTAGTAGATACTTACCTACGTCTCAATCCTTCTTTTCTCTCCGCCCCCCCCTCGATATTCTTTTTTTTTAAATTATTAAATTGAAAATAATAAAAAGATATAATAAAAATATTTTTCATTCATCATTTTAGGACTTTATTGCAATCCGGATATAATGGAATTGGAAGCCATGTGCTCGATGATCAGTTCAGACGATCCTTTATACTCTATGTTTCGGAAAAACTCTAAACCCATACCTTGCCCATTCAGCGGACCTCCATTCACGTTTTCGTATAGTCGAGGATATGGTGAATGCGTTTTACCAATAAGTTTGGCCGAAAGATGTACGGACGAGAGTAAACTACTTCTTAAATATCAGGCCTGTCCCGACATCCATGGAACCGAAAGTAACAGTAAGTTTTTAGATTCTTTCTTCCTTTCCTTCTCCGCTACCCCTCTTTTTCTTCTGATCCATCTTCTTAACCCCCTTCTCTCGTATATGTAATTTAAAATTATTATTCAAATTATATAATTTCATTGAAAATGTCTATTTTTTTACTTTCACGTGTTTCTATTTAATTTGATTTTCAAATAAAATTAAAATATTTTGTTCGTATAAATAATGACGATATAATAATTAGCTCGTTAAAACTCGGCAATACGATTAAATTGTTCAAATATTTCTTTATTCGTTCGTTATATTTTTCATACAAAAATTGTATGATTAATAATGAGGATACTTTCTTTTTTATTTCCTTTTTTATTCTTTGAATTATACGATAATTTGTAATAATTTACAGCGGAGGAGTTGCAATGCTTGGCTGTTTGGAACGACGGTGGACGGAATAAATATTTAGTGGGTACACTTAAGGGAAGAAATGCCGTTTCTACTGAAGTAACGTTTAGGTATAATCTCGTTATTTTATATAAGTAACAATTATTTTCTCTTATTAATTAAAAAAAAAATAATCATTCTAGAGATTGACCAATAAATAAAGTCAATGAGATTTTTAAAATAAATCAAATGGCAAAAATCGTACGGGAATTATTGGTCAATCTGATATATTATATATATTGTACAAATCTATACGATTAATGAACTCTTTTTTCTTCCTTCCCCATCCCCACTTATAGGTGCTTTTTATACGAAGAGAAACATCATCAGGGAAAAGTAATGTACATGCTTGCTGATTCCGGAGAACCTACTTGCAATGGTTTGACAACTATATCCGATGCATCACTCACTATAAAACTTACAAAAGGTCTCTATCATATAACAGATTATAAAAAAAAAAGAATAAATACTTTCTAATTATTAACAAATAATTAACATAGATATTCATAATTTGTTCAACAGTTGACAAAGAACACAGCAGGTGCAAATATCCATCGTGGGTCACGCAACATCACGATTGGTATTCATTGGATGGCACCAAAACTTATCACTTTACAAACAAGAATGCAACGCTCAAAATAAAAGCTCAAGAAACCGATAGAGAAGCATACCACGAGGAAAAAATTGTCTGTCATAATTTAGAAAAGATGCATCCGAACGATAACATGCAGGGTCACAAAGTTAAGGTGATCGCTCATGTGACCAGCGGATGGTAAGTAGATAGTCAAGATTTCTTCTCTATAATAATACATTATTTGACGTGTAACGTTATTGATTCTTTGTTTTAGTGACATCGGTTATGTGTGCATGATATTCCATAAAAGGGAGGGACATATTATTGAAATACAACAATCTGGTTAGTAACTTATATGTAATAATTATTACGTCATTATTTCGTATAATATCTGATTGTTTAATTTGATTTTAGCTCAAAAAGCAATTATGCCGGACGAAGTTTGCTCCCTGTGGGATCCTTCAAATATGCCTTATACGACTCTAATAAGTAAGTATATATATATATATATATGAAATGAGGAATAAGGTTTAAAAATAATCTTGATTTAAAATACATATCCTGTCTGGTCTTCCTTAGCTTCTTTTCTACATCAAAGAAAGTGTTCACACGCTGGTCGGTACTCTATCATACCTTTTGTCCCTTCAAATGTATTCTCGACTACTAACAGACGACAGCGTCGTAGTGAGAGATTTTCGAAAACGGCAAAAAGAAGGACGTGGCAGGACGACATTGAAGGTGAAGAGTGTAGAAGTACGGATATTCAAATAGGATGTAGTTCTTCCGATCAAAATGAAATGATTATTGCAAATACTTGTGAACATGAAGAACAGGGTGAGTCTAATAACAAAAAAAAAAAAAAAAAGAAAAATATCTTTTATCTTTAAATTTTTGTAATATAAATATGTATATATTTATTTTTCAGCATATTTTTGTCACGGTAGTTGGGAAGAAAAAGGAATATGGTATACTATAGTATCATCTAATAATAGAGAAAAAAACACTGAAAGCATGCTCGACCAAGGACAAACTTATTGTTTCTCAATGCGGTCTGGAATAAATACAGAAAAAATTCAAGATAGGAGTAGATCGTTACAGCAAGAACAAGAGTTGTGGCTTTCAAAGCCAACACGTTTTTGTCAGAGAAATGAAACTAATGAATGGATGTACAGACTCTCAAGTCAAGGTCATTATTGTAACGATATATTCTATATTTTTTAAATATATTACACATATATATCATGTGTATAACATTTAATTTATTATTGCAGGTGTCTGCGAAGATTTAATGAAAGCAGCTTCGAGCAGAGCACCATCACCTACTTTTTCGTTAAATAGTAGTACGATTATCGTTACAATATTCATTACGACATATACGATATTGTTTAGATGATTCAGCATGAAAGGCCTGTAGATATTGATTGAAACTCAAATTATAAACTACATTTAGAAGCAGCATCAGCAGTAGCAGCAGCAACAACAGATACTAACAAACTGAACAGTCGATATAATATTATTACTAGAAGGTGTACAAATAAAAATAAGTTATCGGCCTTCTTTTAAATGAAAATAATAATTTATTTATTTTAAATGTTAATCGGGAAAATAATTTCCTTTTGTTTTTATACATTTCTCGGGCAAATAGCGAATCTCTTAATAGTAAAATAATGGCGGTTTTGAATTCATAAAATTGGTAATGCATTTTTGTTATTTCTTAGAAAGTTTTTTAACAAAATGGAAATATGTTGTTGGATAATTCCTAATGCAGTAGAAAACTACGCTTAAGTTTAACAACAATTTTTGTCCAACAACTGTTCCAAATTCTTATTTGTGAATTTTTTAAATGGTCTTACTTTCTCGACCTTCTCGAAGGCTCTCGAGATTGAAATTTTTAAAAAATAATTCTTTACAGTGTTGATGAATGCATCATCTTTCCTCGATGCTTCACATATCATATCTTTACCCTCACGCGAACGTGAAAAGCATACAGTGCCTAATATGCGCCTTATTGTAACTAATTTTGTTTACTGTGCTAACGATGAATATTTTTAAATTATGTTAAACTATTAATCCGGCAATATAGTCTAATAGATTTGTATTATATAGCCCCAGAATTAGTGAGAAAATGTTTTCGTTCAAATATTTAATATTCGTTTTAATTCTTAAGCCGAGAACTTATTTGTACACCTAATTTTATTATTATTATTATTAGTAGTAGTAGTTTTAGTATTATTATTATTTTATTATTATCATATTAGTATAACAAAGGGATTGATAAACATCGATAATTGAAAAGTTATATTTTAAACTTTTGAAAAATTGCTAGTTTTAAATAGTACAGGATGAACAAGATACAACTAAAGAATGACTATAAGTAAATTATGAAGCTGCAAAGCAGTCGTAAAACTCTCTTATATGTTCAAAGGCTGTTGCACGGTTATTTATTAAAAACAAATTAATTTTTCTCACTGTTCAAATACTTGTTATTGAAGTATTTTATTTTTATATACATATTAGGGAATGTTTATTCTGATGGAATAGCTTGTGAGTTTTCAATAACATCATAGATTTGTGCTTACGATTTAAATAGAAGTTGGTACTTATTCTTCTCTCTCTCTCTCTCTCTCTTTCTCTTTTTCTATCTTACACACTGTTTCCGATAAAGTACGTAACTTTACGCGTAACTATCGATGCTCTGAGATTTAAAAAAAATATATATTTTATATTTCTATACTTAACGTTTATACTGTTTACTATCAATTTTTTACGCAATAATTTGTTAGTATCTCTGCAACGATAACTCTAAGGATTACAACGTGACAAATGTCGAATGTTTCAATGTTTGCAGCAATCAAAGCAGATACAGGTTGATCTTTAGTTTAGCACAAATTGTTGTTACGTATATATATGTATAATATATCGTAGCAATATTTTTCTTTTAACACGATATAACATTGGCACGTACTGCCCGTTCCTAATAGTTTTTCAAACGAAACTAAATAAAAGAAAATATTCTTCTTTTATACTGAAGTAGAATACAAGTTAATAACGAAATCTTTTTTGGACAAAATAATTCTATAACATTCCAAAATTCAAAATAGAGAAGATAAGATTCTGGTGCATTTATTATAATCATTATTATATATTTAATTTATTAAATAATTTTTGTATTATTTCAAGTTGACTCGCGTAAGTTGTTAATTACAATATATATTTTTCTTCTTTAATAAACAATCCTTACTATTCCCAACATTGTATCGTTGGGAAGATTTTCAAATAAAATAAATATATATAAATCTTTTTTAACAGAAAATGTTAAAAAATATATCTAGTTTCTTATAACAGCTATAGATTATTAGCAACAGTCTTTGAATAAAACCAGTTCTAGAGTTGTAGGATTTAAAAATTGATGTAAATCATTAATAATAATCGAGCTATTGTAAATAAAACCAGGGTATAAGTAATTTAACACTAATTTCATTTGTTTTATACTCAAGTGAGAATGAAGTAATAATATGTAATTATAAATTATAACTTAACATGATAAGCTAATTTAAATGTAATAGCGAATGAATAGTTTTATCTTTTAGCTAGTTATACATACGTATGTGTGTACATCTGTATATAATAATTTAAATATTGTATAAAGACTGTTTTTAAAGAGTAAAAAAAGTTTACAGTTCTCGACTACGTTTAGCTAATGAAAAAAAAAGTAAAAAAGAAAGAAAGAAAGAAAGCTATATGTGGCTTTGGACGCGTCTTTTGAAAAGGATTTTTAATTTAAAATATTCTTGAAATTACAAGTATCTGTCTTTTCCCGATAATTAATAAGTTTCTACTAAATAGCATTGATAATGAATGATGACCGAAAAGAAAAGTGGTTTCTAGACAAATACAAGATTTATACTTAAATTTTGGAATAAAATGCTTTATCTTTTACATAAGGTTAGTGGATATAGATATAGAGAAAACGATACTAGAACATAAATCACTTTTAACAACGAATCTTGGATAGTTTTAAACGACTATATATCCGTTTTATTTATTTCTGTTGGATATGATATTCTTTATATTATATCTAATATTATATTCCTATCGCACTATTAAAATTAGTGTCAATTTTCTTTTAGTCATCTTCATTTATAATTTACACTGATCACTTTCTTTCAATATATACAGTTATAAATTTTGAAATTACATATTATCTTTATAAAGATATATTGCCTCACGAAACAATAAAAGAAAAAGAAAAAAAATAAAAAAAAAAATAAAAAATAAAATATTCGATTAAATTTCTGTAAATACACAGGTATTTATTCGTTGTGAAATGTGCGTTTGCGTGAATGCATAAGAATGAATTTGCGTATATAATAATATTATTAAACAAAATTTACATCTATTATATATATTATTATATATATATATATATAATAATATATATATAAATATAACACATTGTTAATATTTATTATATCTAAACGTACAGCCAAACGCAGTGACGCTGACGAAAGCTAGGAAACGTTTTTTACTGTATATATTATATATCGTATAATTGTGAGGGCAATTATGATAGTGGACTAAGCAAATAAAATTGAAAAAGTAAATTTTATGATTTATTTGATATTAACATTATATTATAAAATAAATCATATATAAAATAAATTTATATAATTTTTGTTATTTAGGTCACTATCATAATTACCGACACATATATATACATATATTAAATATTTTCTAAAATTAATGTTCTGTATTCCGGAATTCAAGAAACAGTAAAAAAAAAAACAAAAAAAAAAAATAAACTAAAATAAAATAAAACGAAAGAAATTTTGTGAACGAATGAACGAGGTGTCCGTTTGCGAATCATCGAACATCGAGTATAATAAGATAAATCTTTATTTTTATACATACAGGTCGAAGTATCGAGAGCTTGCCTATTTTGCTTAGTGGCTATAGATGTTAATTAAAGATAAACACGTGAATAATGGTAAACAATTTATTTTCTTGTATTATCTAGAATTTCAGTTGCTTCGTTTTAATAGTATGATATGGTAGAACCAACAAACTTTTGACCAAAAAACGATTAACGAAGATACCAAACTTATCTCAATTATTATAATTCCATTCATTTATTTATATATCAATATTTATATTAAACGTTTTTCATTTTGTCATCAGTTCATTTGCATCACATGTCCTACGAATTTTGATCGTGAAAATATTCGTATATTTCTATAAATATATATATATATATTCCTATAAAACTAATTACATTACCAGATTCGAAATCTATTTTACTGCCAATCGTACGAGAATCTCTAATTTTTATTACATTAAAATAAACGCAGTAGCAGCAACAGCAATTAGTTAGTTAAATAGCTAACTAAATAAATAAATAAATAAATAAAATGAATTCCGGATATAGACGTTGAGCAAAATAAAAAAAAAAGATAACTAATAAATATTCCTAGAAAATAAGAGATAATCTATTAAAGAACGGCGTGATAAAATAGTTGAGATTTTTCATGGAACAAAAGAAAGAAAAAAATGAAGTGTAGAGATATGCATAAAGTGCCACTAAAGACACTATATATATATATATAAAAGAAGTGATTCACTCGATTTACTAACCATAAAAATAATGCTATGTACAAGAAATATATATATATATATATTTTTCGTTTATCACTGTGATGATTATAGAATTATAAATATTAGTATTTAAGATCGTTTGAGTGTTGCTTTTCTTGCCACTTTAGTCTAGAAAGGAAAAAAAAAAAATAATAAAAATAAAAACGTTATATTTCGATGTATTATTAAGAATTTACTGGAATGATGAGAAAATAAGAAATAGGAAAGAAGAATGAAGGATTTAAGAACAAGACATGATTATGGCCTCTGCTTACGAACCTAATTATTATTTTCGATCTAATAATCGTATGAATTTTGTGATGGAGGCATGTCCTTATAAGTATTGTACGTGCTTGAATGGATGAGTAAAAAAATAAGAGAAAAGAAAAAAATTCGTATAACTCTGATAAGATTAAATTCATTATAGAAAAGGAAGATACAAAAATTACCACGAGATAATGATTCCTTCATAATAAGAATATAAGAATATATATATATATGATAATTTGTTTATTGCGTAATATTTTTAATGTCATTTAATTACGTTCGTTTCAATATTACACACATATATATACACACACACACAGACTATCTCGACGCGTTCGTCCATGAAAAAAAAAAAGAAGAAAGAAAAAAAATAAAAGGAAAAACAATTATTAATTAACGAAAAGGGCAAAAGTAAGAACAAAAAAAAACGGCGGAAAATAAAAAATACAAGAGACGATTAGAAAGATATTTACAATTTTTGCTATTAAACGATCGCATAAAATAATATTTTACCGAAAAAAAAAAGTAATAAGAAGGATATAAAAAAAATGAGTAATGATGATAATAATAATAATAATAATAATAATACGATATATATTATCGATCGTCAAAACCGCGAACATCGACATGTTTTTTAAAACAAAAAAAAACAACTCACTGCCTTTACGTAAATACATACGTCGCTCGTTAATGAAGCGTTAAAAAAAATCTAATTGAACGAATAGCTTTTTATATTTTCGATCTCATATCTGCCTTTTCCGAGTGCTAGTTTATTCTGATAATAACGATATAGTATTTCTGTAAAGTGTCAGACAATGCCGACTCGATGGTAAATGAACTAGCATCATGTGTAATGTTTATTATATTTTGAATACGAAATATATACATATAAAAGAAAGACTTTTTGTATATCCGATACGTTGTTCTAAATTCATTTATTTCCCTTTGTATTTTTTCTAAAAAAAAAAAAAGAAAGAAGATAAAATAGTGTTTACGTGGGATTTATAAAAAATAATAGTTTTCATCTCATCTAACGTAGTAGTATTAAAATTTAATATTTTGAATAAATTGACTTTTTTTTCTTTTACAATCGATTCAATAACCCGGTTTCAAATTTGAATATATGAAATTCTAAAATATTTTATTATTATTATCTAAAAATTATCCTTATCTATTATTTATTAATTAAACTGATAAAAAATTGATTCTTTATTCAATCCTAAGAAATATAATTTGTATTAAAGATCATTTGTCATATTTATATCAGTTTACAACATTTTAAATACTTTAGGACTTTTATCTTTTGCCAGCTGAAAAAGATAGTGAATGAAAAAAACAAAACGAATAAACGAGTATAAAATAAAATATTATTTATGTTGTTAAAATTTTCACAAAAAAAAAAGAAATCCAAAAAATATCGAATAATGAACTTTAACCCCCATTGAATGATTTTTGACTGACTCATAATATTTCATCGTTCAAAATTCGCGGAAATTGTTGTGCCAACGAGATAGAAAGAGAAAGGGAAAGGATATACGATTATAATGCCATCTACGAGGGTTGGTTAGAAGGGTGAATTTTTCTACGTAACGCTTGTTCTATGACTTATCGACTTTGGTTTGGGAAATTTTCGCGGTGGTGAGTTTGGCGGCACACGTGAGCCATGTCATACACGATACGCGTTTGCTCGAGGATACTGAAAATCACTATTCAAGAGAACGAATAGAAACAGAGATAAAAACACCTTATTATAAGTAATACCTAATACCAGAAAAAGAAGAAGAAGAACAACAACAATAAGAAGAATAAGAAGAAGAATAAGAAAAAGAATAAGAAAAAGAATAATAACAATAATGATAATAGACATAAATCTGAAATAAAATGTTGATTAAAACGTTTGATCATATTTCGTTTAACCGTTAAATATGTGCATAGAACCCACGTGGACTTGCAATCAATAGTGCAGTGTTGTTGCACGGGGGTCAATCAACCCGCGCTCGAGGTCAACTTCATGGTGTCTTCTCTCTGGGTGAGTAGGATGATACTACTTAATAAACGTATTTTCAAAGAACGCGCTATCAACTTCATATTTCATATCGTTAATATATTCAATGGAAATACATTAGAAATAATCATTTTAATTATCTTTTTTTTTTTTTGTTTTTACTCATTACGAAGTGTGAAACTTCGTAATAGAAATACGTAGAAATTCGTGATAGATAAAAACAAAAAAATAAAAGTACGTGTGTATTTGACCTATGAGATGGAAAGAGAAAATTCGTTTATCGCGAGATCGCACCGAATTTAGACTCTTCCAGTTCGATCCTCCGCTAGGGTTAAATGTCAATCGATACTCTGCGATCTTTATATTTGATTATAACTATAAAATTCATTGAACATATAAACGATTTTACATAATAATTTAAAAATATCGGAATAATAATTTACATTGATTTTTTTATTGTCTATTACACATATATTATATTTATATGTTATATATTCTAATATATATTTTTAAATCTATATCTATATGTAAGATAGAAGTGTGTGTGTGTGTGTTATACGTTTGTTTTGCCAGATAATACTTTCGCAGTGGATTTTTCAGGTGCATTCACTTTACTGATTGGTGCTTTGCATTAATTCACAATGAAATTTACTATTATAAAAGTCGAAAAATATCTCGTACACAATTTCCCTAAAGTTTTAATTAAATTAATCTTTTCTTGTTTTTTCTTTTTTAGGAAAATCTAATTAATTTCTCTCCGTTTTGTTAGTATTAGTTGAAATTGAAAAAAATGTTCAATATTATTATTATTATTCAAAGTGATTAGAAAAATAAAAAGAAAGAAAAAGATAAAAATTGGCAAAGATCTTTTTCCCCTCTTGCGTTTTCCTTTATTTTTTCCCCTTTTTATTTTCTTGTTTGCTTGCTGGCAACGGATACTACCTCCTCTATTCTGGTTGTTTCACACAGTAATATTTATTCCTTTTTACAATTGAAAGACGGATTTGGAAATAGGGCAGAAGATTGAAAACAGCAATGTAGGACAAAGGTTGGCCGAGGTGAATGGCACCACCTCGTTGTTGAAGCTGCACTCACCTGCCTGCGCAGTCGTTCCGCAGATTTTCACTAAGCTCGATAGAGTAGTAGTAATAGTAGTAGTAGTAATAGTAATAGTAGTAGTTTATTCGTCAACACGGTGAAAAAAAGAAAGATAGAAGAAAAAAGAAAAAGGTCTTCATTTACTTTAATTCATTTAATGAAAAAGAAGAATATGATGGAAGCAGAAAGAAGAGGAGGGTTGGAGGAGGGGGCTAGAAAAAAGATTTATTACTTCAAAAACTCGTTTTTTTTCTTTTTTTTTTTTTTTTGCAAAATACTCGGCTAATCCTAAGTACGTATATATAGAAGAAGAAATGATTCCTTATGCATTTTTTGAACGAATGCAACGAAGAAAGAGAAATAAAACCTTGATCATGCAACCTACATATGAAAAAGGGAAAGAGATATAGAGATTAGGTGAGAAATTCAGGTTGCCAATAAATTTGTAAAATCGATCGGAATAATGATCGTTTACGCTCCCATTGCCAAGATTCACAGTTGGTTTTGACGATAACGTTGGGTGTTTCGGAGGAAGGTAAAACCTCTCGTTCGAACACCAAGAGATCGCTTATCATTGATCAGCTTGCCGGTTCGAATAAAGCTATTGCGCTCTGGAATTACGTAACTCTGTCTCTATCCCTCTCTCTCTCTTTCATTTTTTATTTTTCTTGGATGGTCGTAATTCCAATGCAATTTTATCAAATTTTTCATTTGAAATAATACAAATCTTACACGAAACGATTATTATCGTAAAACTATAATTATCAATAATTATATATATACCATATGTAGTTATTTCTATCAGTATAACTACAATAACTCGTTTTTTATTCGTAAATTACGTTACATTTAAGGGAAATAAATATTTATTTATATCGTAGTGTTCTTTATTCGTTTGTTAAATATTAATTTAGAGAATAGAAAATATTTTGTTTCAAAATATATTTATATGTTAAAAATTATACGTATTAATATTAAAAAAAAAAAAAGAACCAATAATGGATAATTATTTTCAATAATTTTGTGAAAATCTTTTAATGTTAACAAAATTAAATCATGTATATATTATATATACAGTA